TGGGCTGTGCCTAGTCCTGGGACTGATCACTATGAAGGTTCTATGATTGGCCCAGCTTGTAGCAAGTGACCAACCCCTCAGCCAATCACCATCACCTGGGTGGTGGCCCCCATAAGGGAATGTCAGCTCCTTTTCAGACTTTCCTAATGAAGGAAAACAGTGAGAACTATTTCTCAAGAACACTTCCAGGTGTGTGTGATGGGTAAGTGAGTCCCTAGCAGCATTGCTGCACCTCCAATTTGAGAAAAAATAGTTTGGCTACAACTTGTAAACTGATATATTTGGCCTCTTTGCCACTTCTCAGTTTCTGTCAGAGATGATAAAATCTGAGGGAGGCATTCCCGTCTGCGTGGTCTTAAGTTGGTGTGCCACTCCCCCTAACTTCCTAGGTCAAGGTTCATCCTGGGTGTGGCAGTATTAAGAGATGGACCTATGTCGTGAGAGCCCCGTGGGATTACTGCCCTTATAACAGAGGACTGGAGGGCCTTCTGCTCTTTCTAGCACATGAAGACAGCATACTCTGCCAACATTTGGCTCTCCAGCCTCCAGAACTGTGAGCAGTAAATTCTGTTGTTTATAAATTACCTAAGCTGAGGAAGCCATTTTGAATACCAAATGGACTATGAAACCCCCAGGAGTGGCAAGGCTTGCTGGACACAGCTTGTAGCACCAGTTGGTTCAGGGACAGGCTCCATGCACCATGTGGGTCCCTGTGCTGTGGTGCGGGGTTTTTCCTGTGTGCACAGCTGTGACGGTGAGGGTCAATCTTCTGAGAACAGCCAAAGCCTCCTCTAGCCCCCAGCCCCCCATGCAGGGGACCGTGTTCTTCTGGAACCACATCAAATACTGTCCATCATGGGGCCACTGCTTTGGGTTTTGTTTATTGGTTGGTTTTGTTTGTTTTGTTTTTTGGTTTGAGTTTGTTGTTTTTTTTTTTTTGCTGAACATTCTTTTCTTCTTTTCCTCTGTTGCTATCTTAGTTTTCTTCCTTTTTAAACCAAGATAAGATGTTTCTAGTTTTCTTAAGGATTCTTTTGATGAAATAATTCTAATTTATATTTTTATTTCTCTTGTAGCCTGGGGAGCATTTTTATGTGCACAAAGTCTTCTTTTGTGATCTTATCCAAGACAAACTTCTGGTTCTTCTTTTTCTCAAAGTTACTACTAGCCAAACTGAAACTTAAAAATCAGCTTACTAAAAAGTTATGTAGGCCTCTGCCCATAGAAAAAGTTGCTCTGCTATGGAAGTTTTTAATTTTTTTTGTAAAGGGCCAAATAATAAATACTTTAGACTTTGTACATATGGTTTCTGTCAGTATTACTCAACTTTGCCATTGCCATATAGAAATAACCATAGATAATGAACACATGAACAGGTGTTTCCTAATAAAGCTGCATTTTCAGAAACAGGTGATGGTTCAGACCTGTGCCAGAAGCCATAGCTGCTGACTGTGGCTCCAAAGCATCTTCTGCTTTGAACCCTCTGAGAAAAACTGGAGTTAAAGACTTTGAGGTGAATGTGTCATAATTTTTATCCCTCTCATGGAGTAAAAATGAACTGTATTCAGACAAGGCGCTGAAGGGGGGATCACTGAGCTGTGGAGATAGATTAGGGCATTGGAATTGATGACCTTAAAATACCTCCTTATTGCATGCCATACTCCACTGCAAGAACCTGCTCAACAATGGTACAGTTACACATAAGTGATTTTGTGCATGTATCTGTATGTTGTTTGTAGAATGCACACATATATGGTGTGGATCTGTGTGGAAAAGCTGAGGACTGCTTACCTGTCTAGAAGAAAATGTCCTACCTCAGATGGATGGGAGAGAAAGACTAGGGAAAGCATGCCTAACATGAAGGAGAAATGGTGACCCAGCACAGATTTTCACTAGTGTAAACAATAGTGATGTTGCTACCCAGTGGCAGATTTACTGCAAGCCAACTGTGGTCTGGGGACAGGAACACAGCCCCTTGCCATAGTGAACCTCCACTACTACTCAATTTGTCCAAAATCTATTTGCACAAGCCCTTTAAAAACACACCTACTGCTGGAAGGAAATGGAAAGACTTGGAAACAAATTATACTACATGAAATAAGCCAGACCAAGAAAAACAAAGCTGCATAGTTTCCTTCATTTGTGGTAGATAGAGCCCACCTACAGATCTGTAAGTGAACACACTGGGCCACATGCAGGTGGTTTACAAATGAATTATGCGGGTTTCCGTAGTGTAGCAGTTATCACGTTCGCCTCACACAAATGAATTAACCAAAGTATAATAGACTCTATAGAAAGCTCAAATAATATACAATAATCTTTTAGAAAGACTAAGAGAAAGCCCAACAAACCTGACACCAGGAACGGGTACACCAGGAAAGGGTACACCGGGAATGGGTATACCGGGAATGGGTACACCAGGAATGGGTACGCCAGGAATAGGTACACCGGGAAATGGGTACACCGGGAATGGGTATACCGGGAATGAGTACACCAGGAAAGGGTACACCAGGGAATGGGTACACCAGGGAATGGGTACACCGGGGAATGGGTACACCGGGGAATGGGTACACCAGGAAAGGGTACACCAGGGAATGGGTACACCAGGGAATGGGTACACCGGGGAATGAGTACACTGGGAAAGGGTACACCAGGGAATGAGTACACCAGGGAATGGGTACACTGGGAAATAGGTACACCAGGAATGGGTACACCAGGAATGAGTACACCAGGGAATGGGTACACCAGGAACGGGTTCACCAGGAACGGGTACACCAGGAATGGGTACACCGGGAATGAGTACAGCAGGGAATGGGTACACTGGGAAATGGGTACACCGGGAATGGGTACACTGGGAAATGGGTACACCGGGAATGGGTACAGCAGGGAATGGGTACACCAGGAAATGGGTACACCGGGAAATGGGTACACCGGGAAATGGGTACACCGGGAAATGGGTACACTGGGAAATGGGTACACCAGGAATGGGCAACCAGGAATGGGTACACCAGGAATGGGTACACAGGGAATGGGTACACCAGGAATAGGTACACTGGGAAATGGGTAAACTGGGGAGTGTGTACACCAGGAATGGGTACACTGGGAAATGGGTACACCAGGAATGGGTACACCAGGAATGGGTATACCGGGAATGGGTACACCGGGAAATGGGTACACTGGGAAATGGGTACACCAACCAGGAAATGGGTACATAGGGCCAGGGGGGCAAGGGAAAGACAAATGGAAGGGGAAAAGGAGCTGATAATGCAGTAGAAAGCATTCACTGTATATACTACAAGATTAAGAAAACTGAGGGAAGGCCTAGGTTGAAGGGAGGTGAAATGTTGATCAAATACGTTGTATTCATAAACTGCTTTATTAAATGGCACCTCCTTTGTACAACTACTTAAAGATAATTTAAAAATTAAAACAAAAGCCCTACACCTACTAGGTGAAGTCGGGGATACTTGCATTCCAGAGGAGCTGGAGAGAGGCCTGGGGTGCCCAAGGGAGCCAGAGAAGCTTGGGAAGAACAGAACTGAGCAGCCGGTCATGGAAATGTGTTCTTTCATTTCCCATGTTCCACTGCTGTGCATCTGTGATTTATTTTCCAGCACATGTTGGAATTTGACAGACTCTCATGCTGGCCTGCTTCACAGCTGAAACCATTTGCCATTTGGTAGATGATAAAGCAAGTGACAGTTTACACTAAAAAGGCTGTAAAAGAAGCCGTCTGTGAAAGAGACAGACAGGCGTCAAACCGACTGTAGAGCCCTCAGATTATGCCAGGCCTTGTAACAGAGTTGAATTCTGCACACATCCTGCTTAAGGGTGGCACACTGGTGTGATGGCAGAGAACCTGCACCCTACAGAACCCTAGCTCATGTGCACAGGGATGGGTACGTGCCTCCGGCAGCTGCAGCTGCTAGGGAGCCCTGTCCAAGATCACAAGTGCCAGCTATTCTAGGACAGGGTGGGAGAACCAGCCTAGGACAGCACAACATGCTATGAAAACATGGTCCAGGAGGGGCCAGCCCTGCGCTGCACAGGGCTTCTCTGCAGAAGGGCCCAGGCCTGGGAGGGGCCTTCTGTGAGGACCTTTTATCTGGCTGATAGAGACCCACTTGGCTGCCTGTTTCAAAGGGGTAGGTCTCACGTCACTCTCCCACATTTCTCTGTTTTATGCTTCTCCATTCTATTCTATTCCATCCTGCTCTTCCTTTCTGTAATCTCTCACTGCCTAGGATAGAATAGTCTCTGCCTGTTTACTTCTTTGGCTCAGACCAAGCCTATTGCACACCTTTCAGGGGTGCTGGAGTGGACATTTCTGATGACACCCTGGGTAAGATGGTATGAAATGTAGGATTAGGCAAAAGAAGGAGGTGGCCCGAGAACGGGGCACTGGGAGGCGGGCAGAGAGGAGATGGCAGCTGGGGAGAGTGACTGCTCCAACAGTGGCCAGGGAAGCAGGGGAGGGGTGGGTGACAGGAGTCAGTGGAGATGAATAGAGGCCAGATTTTGTGCGTCTGGGCTGGGCCGCAGGATGTGTGTTTTCACGGGACACACTAGTGGAGTGTGGCGTGACCACTGGTCATGAGAAGGTTTTGGAACGGGATCCGTGTGGACACTACACTCCAGCAAAGCTGTTGGATAAAGTTAAAGAAAAATGTGTTTCAGATTTAGCCATGAGGAAGCCATTGGTGACCTTGGCATCACTGCATGGAGTAGGGGAAGAAGCAGCCAGATTAAGTGACCTGAGGCTCTGGAATCTGACAAAGCAGACCCAGCGAGTGGGGATTGCTCGGAAGAAAACAAGACATTTTGAATTGTGTGGATGTCTTCGCGTTGCAAGTTTTCTGCCAAAGAATGTTGGGAATGCCAGGCAGCCAACAGCTGGTGCAGCCTTGCTTCTCCTCTTGGCAGAGCCATGGAGTGCTTCTGCCCTGTCCCGTCGCTGGGTCCCAGGCAGAGGCTGGTCCTAACGACCTTCTCTCTTTCAGGCCGGATCCTGGACCTGAAGACGGGGACGGTCAAGAAGGAGGGGCAGCAGTCCTCGATGCGGATGTGCATGGGCTCGCGGCGCTCCTTCATCTGCAGGATGAGGTCTGACGGGGCCGCGGTGCGGGGGCCGGGTGCGCCCTCTGGTCTGCCATCAGAGCCTGCAGCGGCTCTGCTAAGCTCACAGGGGCTGACTTGCTTTCTCTCCAGTGACTGCAGCCTGCTGGGTCTGTGGAAGTGTTCCCATCTATCTGTCCCCCTCTTTTACCTCACTGTCCTACGATTCTCCTGACTGTTTACCCGTCCGGCCTGTCCTACCAGGGCGCACCCCTGCCTCCTTCCACCCCCCAGCAGTGCTACCAGATGACCTGTCCTTCACTAGAGCCCTCTCAATCCATCACTCCCATTCCCCTGCGATCAGAACCAGGACCCCAGCCTTTTAGAGACACTGAGCTTTGTGGGGAATAGTTTATATCTGAACCAGAACAACTCAGAAAGTAAAGACTGAGGCTGCAAAACTTGACCTCAGAGGGGAGCTGAGTAGGAGCTGCAACCACTAGCAAAGGAACAAGACCAACTTCTACCTCCTCCTCCTCCTCCTCTTCCTCCCCCCCTCCCCCCTCCTCCTCCTTCCCCCCTCCTCCTCCCCCCTCCTCCTCCTCTTCTTCCTCCTCCTCCTCCTCTTCCTCCTCCTCCTCCTCCTCTTCCTCTTCCTCCCCCCTCCTCCCCCCTCCTCCTCCTTCCCCCCTCCTCCTCCCCCCTCCTCCTCCTCTTCTTCCTCCTCCTCCTCCTCTTCCTCCTACTCCTCCTCCCCTCCTCCTCCTCCTCTTCCTCCTGCTCCTCCTCCTCCTCTTCTTCCTCCTCCTCCTCTTCTTCCTCCTCCTCCTCCCTCCTCTTCCCCCCCCTCCTCCTCCACTTCCTCCTCTTCCTCCTCCTCCTGCTCCTCCTCCTCCTCCTCCTCCACTTCCTCCTCCTCCTCCTCTTCCTCCTGCTCCTCCTCCTCCTCTTCCTCCTGCTTCTCCTCCTCCTACTCCTCCTCCTCTTCGTCCTGCTCCTCCTCCTCTTCCTCCTGCTCCTCCTCTTCCTCCTCCTCCTCTTCCTCCTGCTCCTCCTCCTGCTGCTGCTCCTCCTCCTCCTCTTCCCCCCTCCTCCTCCTCCACTTCCTCCTCCTGCTCCTCCTCCTGCTCCTCCTCCTGCTCTTCCTCCTCCTCCTCCTCCTCTTCCTCCTGCTCCTCCTCTTCCTCCTCCTCCTCCTCCTCTTCCTCCTGCTCCTCCTCCTGCTGCTGCTCCTCCTCCTCCTCTTCCTCCTCCTCCTCCTCCCCCCTCCTCTTCCCCCTTCCTCCTCCACTTCCTCCTCTTCCTCCTCCTCCTGCTCCTCCTCCTCCTCCTCCTCTTCCTCCCCCCCTCCTCCCCCCTCCTCCTCCTCCTCCTCTTCTTCCTCTTCCTCGTCCTCTTCCTCCTGCTCCTCCTCCCCTCCTCCTCCTCCTCCTCTTCCTCCTGCTCCTCCTCCTGCTGCTGCTCCTCCTCCTCCTCCTCCTCCTCCTCCTCTTCTTCCTCCTCCTCCTCCTCCCCCCTCCTCTTCCCCCCTCCTCCTCCTGCACTTCCTCCTCCTGCTCCTCCTCCTGCTCCTCCTCCTGCTCTTCCTCCTCCTCCTCCTCCTCTTCCTCCTGCTCCTCCTCTTCCTCCTCCTCCTCCTCCTCTTCCTCCTGCTTCTCCTCCTGCTGCTCCTCCTCCTCCTCCTCTTCCTTCTGCTCCTCCTCCTCTTCCTCCTGCTCCTCCTCCTCCTGCTCCTCCTCTTCCTCCTCCTCCTCCTCCTCCTCCTCCTCCTCCTGGAGGAGCCTATCCAGGCCTCCCTGGCACATAGTACCCAGCTTCTTCTTGCGCTCCTCTCTACAAAGCTGGAAGATTCTGCACTGGTCTTAGTACAGCCCAAAGTCAGCCTTCCCTGCCTGACCCCTCCTTTCTGTGAAGCTGCCTGACCCCCAGAGGGCTGCAGGAGGCCTGGCACTGTGACCCACCAGCCCGGTCCGTCTGTGCACTTGCTGTGCGGCCTGCGACTGCACTTAAGCTGTCAACAGAGGATGCTTTCCGTGGATCTGTCCCTTGACCCCTTGGCTAGGCCTGCCGAGCTGGCAGCGGCACTGAGGGCTCTTCGGGACCTGGCGTTAGCCGACTTTGCCCTGCACCTGTCCTCTCAGTAGCTGGAATTTGTCCAGAAGGTGTAGTTGAAGCCCCCTTCACCACCCTCATGTCACAAGACAGCACTGGGGCTACAGTACCTGAGCCCCTCTATTTAGGGGGAGCCTCACTGCCTGCTTCCTGTTCACCTGGCAGGGGCACTGGGTCTTAGAGTCACAGCACTCTCCAGGGGCACTATGCCATCAGCCAGGGACCTCAAGCAGGGTGGCCCTGCAGTGCCTGGCGAAGGCTGCCAGGGCCTGTCCTTGCTCAGAAGCATTCAATAGTGCCCTGGCAATGCAAATGAGTCTCTTCTTCCTTCTCTTCCTCCTCCTTATTTTTGAGATAAGGTCTCCCTTTTTGCCCCAGACCAGCCTAGACCTGTTCCTCCTGTTTACAATTTCTGTGATAGCTGGGATGGCAGGTATATGCCGCCACGCCCAACATTGTTGTTGAGATGGGTCTTGCAGTGTTTGTTTTTCTTATGCCTGCCTGGAACCTCAGCCTCTGTGTGATGTGCTGCCAGGCTCTACTGCTGGGGGAAGTGGACCCTTGTGAACTTTCTGCTGAGGTTGTCCTTCTAATCTTAGCTCTGAGTGGCTAAGATCACAGGCGTGAGCCCCCACCCGGCAGGAACAAGCTCTTCATGGCATCATCCGAGCAATTCCCTCGCGAATCAGTTGCTTGGCGGTGTCATGTATACGTTTCTGTTGGCTGCATCCAGCAGTATTAGGCCTGCCCTGTACCAATCAAATTCATTTAGTCCTCTCTCTGCCATGACGTGTCGGTAGATACCCTCCACATTGCTTGTTGGAGTGCCTGATCTGCTGAAAGCCGCCTTCTCTGCTGATAAAGCAACATAACTTCAGCAGGACACTGGGCACAGTCTGCGGGAGAAGGACAGAGATCCTGCCAGCATCCCTGGGCAACAGTGCCACAGACTGAGCCTGCTGTGAAACCTTTCAGACTCTGTCAGCTTTCTAGAGTCCCAGAATGTGATTCCACTCTTGCCTTTGTTGTGTTGCAACTTAAGATACCTAGGCTGTAACTTGCCATGTAGTCGGAAAATGGAAATTAATTTACTAAGTGGGCATAACCACCACTGGCCAGAGCCCGGCCTCGGCGTAGGCTTTGGAGGGTTGGCACCTGGGATGCCAGAAAGGTTATCATGAGACGGTCCTACCAGAGCACAAGTGTGCTGCTTCGTCTCCCCGAGCTCCCGCCAAGGACTCACAGAAAGATCCGCCCCTCCTTGCCCTCGCCCACTCTCTCTTCTGCCATCAGTAGGATTGCAGCAGTCTAGACAGTTCTAGAATCAGCACACCCACGAAGGAAGGGGGAGGTTCCACAGCTGTGATGCCGAGCATCAGAAGATGCTACCGTTCAACTAGAAGCCTCTGTTTTGAGCCATCTCTTTGTGCAGGCTTGTCAGCAACTATGTGACTGAAATGGGCTGCGGGACTCTGTAGAGCCAGGCTTCTCTGCGGTCTTTGTTTGGGAGCAATAGGCTGGGCCCTGAAACATTTTCCAAGTGGATTTTGAAGTAGATCCATTTACCTTCCCTGATGGCAATCAAAACTAAAAGGCCTGCAAGCCTGCTCCTTCATTGCAGGGTGTTGGCCACAGGTCTCATCTGAATGGATGTGTAAGCACCCATAAAGGTCCATGAACTTGGTAGCAGCAATGTATGTTTCATAAACCTGCCTGGATCTCTGCTCACTCTCATCTGTCTGTCGAATCTTAGGTGTGGAAATGCCCCCCTGGATCACCTGCCCCTGAACAGAATAACCACCATGAGGAAAAGGTTCAGGTCAGCACGCTCTGATTGTCCGCTGGGGTTGTGCAGGATGGTAGTGTCAGTTCAGGTCAGCGCGCTCTGATTGTCTGCTGGGGTTGTGCAGGGCGGTAGTGTCGGTGGCCTTACTTGGGGAATGGCCCAGCCTGAAGAGGGAGCTGAGTTTAGGGAGAACCAAGACTGTGCTCCAGGCAAGAATATGAAGCTGACTAGAATGTGCCTATAAATCTACACAGAAACGCACGGGATGGTAAAAGACCAACAAATGCACCCAGACATGATAAACTAGATAGGTCCCCAGATAGTCACACAGTGAGGCCACAGGAGGATGTTCTTGGGAAAGGATCACAGAGGCTCAACACCTGTGTGCATATGAGCATATAAAATAATAGTTATCAAAATGAACTCTAGGAAATGATGTTTTTATTTTCTTTTCCTTTTGTCCCATTAGTTCATTTATCTGTCTCTGGGAGGGCAAGGGGGCACAGAAATGGAGGGACAAAGGGCAGACAGATGCAGCAGTGTCGCTCTCGAGATGCAATGTTGAAAATGAACTGCACAACCTGTGGGAGGACAGGAGGGGAAACTGGGAGAGATCTACGGGAGGAGAGGCACTTTTCACAAAGAAGCGCACTCGTCTCCTGGCTATGTAACGGCCACCCATCCATCACCTTTACAATAACAATGGATATATAGATTTAAAAAGTGAAGTTGGATGGAATTTACTTGTGACTGTCAGACTCTGCGGGAGGCAGAGTGAGGAGAGGTTAAGGTTCCGAGGTACAGGGACAAACGGGAGCCCAGGGGCTTGGAGGCGAAAGGGGCCGTTGGCATCGTGCTTCCCCTCGTCTGCGAAAACAGTTTCACAAACGTTCTTTCTTTAGGAACGGACTTGGCCCTGTGAAAGAGGGTGAAGCCCAGTATGCTGTGGTCCACTGCACAGGGTACATCAAGGCCTGGCCGCCGGCAGGTGAGAACGGCAGGTGTATTCCCAGGAGGCTGACTGCTGCTCACATCTGACCAAAGGATGTGTGCTCCTAGGAGAGGCCAGAAATGACTTTTGTTTTCTGTGGTAGTTAGAACTTAGTCATCTTTGTCAGTGGAAAAAATCCTGCTGCCTGAAGCTAAGATTTCCAAAAAGAGCCTACCTAATGCCACTTCTGTGGCCGATGTTTCCTGATGTTCTAAGCACACATAACACTGTCCTGTGCCTACTGCTAAGAACCCTCCAGACCACGGACACATTGTGTTCATCTTCCTACCCCAGTAGGTAGCTCAAACTGGACACACAGTATGTATCCAGGAAGACTAGACAATGGATTCATGCGTAGACTGACAAAGCAAAGAAAAGACCAAGGAATAGGATGGAGGAAAAGAGGGTCTCTTGCCCTGACTAAAGAAACGGTCAACCAAGAGGGATGGGTAGGTGAAAGAATTTGTCGCCAGAATTTCTGAGGAGTTTGTAGAGTCTCCTTTCCCAGAGAGAGATCTTTTTAAATGGCTGAGACATTCATCTGGCCTAGATGAGGTGGGTGAAATAAAGTCATAGCCCTCTCATGCCTGACAAGGGAAAGAGAGCCATGTCTGGCTGGAAGGCTTCTCCTTAGTCAGCACTTGCCAAGGGTCTGTGAAAATGGAACACTTGTTTCTCTGAAATAGTTCTAGCTGCAGATGTCCAAGAACCTCGTATTCTGAGAGGATCCAGAGGCCAGTCCCTCTGCACTTAAAGGAAGACTCTTTTCAGACTGGTAAACAAGGTTGCTTTAACCATTTCCTTCCTACCCTGAGTACTGGTTTTCAGTGCTGAATAAGTGTAACTTATCACCTCTCTCCTTCAGAGCCCTTGTAATCCCTTACTTTCCTCTACAAGGCAAACCACAGGCTGTCTTCTCTTATAGACTTGTAGGCACCCTTTACCGCCAGTAGTTCTTTGGCTTTTCCCCCTCCCTTTTTCTTTTGCCTCTGGTGGCATTTTTTTATTCTCTGTCAACAGGAAAGTAAAATGTTTATATGACTTGGAAGAACCACTTAGGCTTCCTAACTAAATGTTTGGACAAAATTGTGAAAACATAGATGAACAACTTTAATGACATCTTCCTTCCTTGTCTGCATCTTTCACGGATGCAATGAGGGTGACCTGGGAACTGCTGAAAGACCTCCAGCAGAGAGAGGAGCAGGAAGTGGGTGTGGGCTGTTGAGGTCATCAGCTAGCTTCCCTCCCAGGACAGCCGCAGGGAATCTGGGGTTTGGTTGCACAAACTTAATTATGAGCACCTCCCTTCTTCTCCACTTGGTTTGGGCAATCTGATGAGGCCAGCGTCTCTCGTTATAGGAATGACCATCCCTGATGAAGATGCTGATGTGGGACAAGGCAGTAAATACTGCCTCGTGGCAATTGGGAGGCTCCAGGTAAGGTAACCCTTCTGGATCTTTCCATCTCAAATTCAGCCTTCTGATGGCTAAGGGCAAGGAATGCAGATTTGATGCCTGTGGACTCAGTAGTCATTGGGATTTGTGTGTCACTCTGGGATAGGCTGAGCCAGATGATGAGCGGTTGGCAGTGGAGGCCTTCCTGCGCTGGTGCTCTTACGAGTCCACCACTGTCTCAGGTGGTTACTGCAGTCCAGTTTGTCCCCAGCACATGCCTGCTTACCCAGCGGAGGCTCCCCAGGCCCCCCTGCAATGGCCTTCCCCCTCCCTCCGCCGTCACCACACCCTGTCCCCAAACCACTGTTCCCCGGCTTAACCCGCACTTCCCGGCCTCTGTGGGCAGGGAATGTTTCTTCTCCTGTCATTTATTTGTCCTTCTTTTAAACTTCCTTTTCCTACTCATTCTTCAAGACTCATCAAAAATAACTTCCCATGTTTTAATCAAAGTCATTGACCCCCTTCCGCTGGCTCTCCACTCTGTGTTTGCCATAGCTGATGGAGTGCTTGCTCATTCCCTGCAAGGTCCTCAAGTCCGGAGTGGGCCTCTTGTGTCCTGTGGAAACCCAATACATTCAGTATCTGATTCATGCAGTTTACTGAATCATTCTGTGTTTTCCTTGGGACTTGGAGAACCTTCCCCAGACTGACAAGTGGAGTAGAATGAACAGTCCAGTCTTCCACTCCTGCCTTCCCATGCTTGACCATTTTTAGACACATGAACAAGCAATCCCATTAATGTAAGACAGCTTCTAGGTAGTCCTCACTGATGGGTGAAATAAGAATATTTGGACCAGGGAGCAGGTATTCAAAAGTTGTGGGGGTGGGGGTCACAGGGGAAGGGACAGAAGAATGAAGAGGAGAAGAGGGATAGAATGCAGTCACCGATCTTACGTATATCTTGCAAAGTTAAGGAGAGTGAGGGGTGGGTAGGAGAGGAATAGGTAAGAATCTTGAAAAGGTTAACATTGATCAGGATGCATTATATTCATAAACTGCTTTGTTAAGTAGCAACTCCTTTGTACAACTACTTAAAGGGAAGAAAAGCATATTTGGGTAACTTTTGTCTGAAAACCTATGCTTTCCAAATATTTTAACCAGTTACATCAGCTCATTTGCCACTTTTACTGAAAGGAAAGGCAAGAGAAGGGGAGGGTATAAAATGCATTGAGCATCAACGATTTGCCAGGCACGGTGACAAGGTTTTAACAACCACTCTATGAAGTTATAGGTCCCATTATTCCCATTAGCTAGACATGTAAATTTTTCAGTGGCCCATCCACGGGAGCTTCCAGAACACTTGGGAGCTCTCCAACACCCTCTGTGCCTGTGACGCAGAAGGTCCAGCCACATGCATTAGTCCCGTTCTCTGCCTGTGGCGTGCCTCCGTCTCCATCGCCGTCCGCGCTCAGCTGTGGGCTCCCTGTTCCAGGTGACCAGTTCTCCTGTGTGCATGGATATGAACGGGATGTCGGTGCCCACAGAGTTCTTGTCCCGGCATAACTCTGATGGGATCATCACGTTTGTGGATCCAAGATGTATTAGCGTGATTGGCTACCAACCCCAGGTTAGTGGGTAATTTCAAGCTCTTGGCAGTTGGTTAGAGACTTAGCTTTTCTTAAAATGTTTTTATCTCCTTTGAGACATGATACAGTAACATTGTGATGACACATGATAAAGGTCCAGGTGCTTGGATAGAGTGACACCTCTCCAAAGCAACGAAGTTCACTGTAAACATCTGCACTACTGCAGATTAACTTGCTATCTTTTTTCCTAACCATTCTGGCTCTCCAGCTGATTATTTTTACACACCAGCATTCAGGTCAATCAATCTTAATCAACAAGTTTACCAACATGAAGCAGTCTGCAGAATCTTATTAAGATGCCCACTGGATTTTCGCCCAATCCCCTTTTTACACTGAGGCACCTTTTCAGGTCTTTGTTGCAGATTTGTTTTAGATTTGGTGACCTGAGAAACAGGAAAAGGCAAGAGTAGTTAGTACCAAGGAGCCAAAACAACAACGCGCAGCAGGAATGCTGAGCTGTCCCAGGCTTGATGCCACCGAGCTAGGAAGACCCTTAGGAGGCAAGCTGAACATCAACAAGTATGGAATATTGGGTGAATCTATCACACAAGGATTGGTTTTCTTAGGTATAGCACTGTACATTGCAGTTTTGTAAGACTGCATCATTTTTGTGAAATGCATGTTAAAATATTTTGGGGAGAAGTGCTATGATCACTGCAGCTAACAGCCAAGTGGCTCAGCAAGAAACCTGTTGAGTGTGTGTGGAATGTGAGCGTATACGCTTACATGCGTGAGAAAAACACGGACGCTGCACAACACACGCTTACATGCGTGAGAAAGACAGGGACGCTGCACAACACACGCTTACATGCGTGAGAAAGACAGGGACGCTGCACAACACACGCTTACATGCGTGAGAAAGACAGGGACGCTGCACAACACACACTTACATGCGTGAGAAAGACAGGGACACTGCACAACACACGCTTACATGCGTGAGAAAGACACGGACGCCACACAACACACGCTTACATGCGTGAGAAAGACAGGGACGCCGCACAACACACGCTTACATGCGTGAGAAAGACAGGGACGCTGCACAACACACGCTTACATGCGTGAGAAAGACAGGGACGCTGCACAACACACACTTACATGCGTGAGAAAGACAGGGACACTGCACAACACACGCTTACATGCGTGAGAAAGACACGGACGCCACACAACACACGCTTACGTGCGTGAGAAAGACAGGGACGCCGCACAACACACGCTTACATGCGTGAGAAAGACAGGGACACTGCACAGCACACGCTTACATGCGTGAGAAAAACACGGACGCTGCACAACACACGCTTACGTGCGTGAGAAAGACACGGACGCTGCACAACACACGCTTACGTGTGTGAGAAAGACAGGGACACTGCACAACACACGCTTACATGCGTGAGAAAAACACGGACGCTGCACAACACACGCTTACATGCGTGAGAAAAACAGACGCTGCACAACACACGCTTACATGCGTGAGAAAGACAGGGACGCTGCACAACACACGCTTACATGCGTGAGAAAGACAGGGACACTGCACAACACACACTTACATGTGTGAGAAAGACACGGACGCTGCACAACACACGCTTACATGCGTGAGAAAGACACGGACGCTGCACAACACACGCTTACATGCGTGAGAACGACACGGACGCTGCACAACACACGCTTACATGCGTGAGAAAGACAGGGACGCTGCACAACACACGCTTACATGCGTGAGAAAGACAGGGACGCTGCACAACACACGCTTACATGCGTGAGAAAGACAGGGACGCTGCACAACACACGCTTACATGCGTGAGAAAGACAGGGACGCTGCACAACACACGCTTACATGCGTGAGAAAGACAGGGACGCTGCACAACACACGCTTACATGCGTGAGAAAGACAGGGACACTGCACAACACACACTTACATGTGTGAGAAAGACACGGACGCTGCACAACACACGCTTACATGCGTGAGAAAAACACAGACGCTGCACAACACACGCTTACATGCGTGAGAAAAACATGGACGCTGCACAACACACGCTTACATGCGTGGAGAGCAATAGAAGGCCAGCATGACAACTGCAGACAGTTCTTCATTCTACACAAAGAACATACAAGTATTTATTATACTTTAGATCTGTAGAGACCTAAATTTGGGGGCAATTTTTAAAAAAGCTTTTTTAAAAAAAGAAAAAGATCTGTATTCCGAGGAACAAACTTTGAGGAATGCTGATATGAATGTTTTAATTACATATATATTTTCATTTTATTTATTTTTTTACTGTGCTGGGTTTCAAACAGAGAACAGTGCACATACTAGGTATCTGTTCTACAACTAAGATATACCCAGTCCTACATATATGTTTCACACTAGAAACAATCCAGACCTGTACTATTAGAGCCCTTTATCCTACATTTCTAGTCATGCAAATCTTGAGGATTCTAGGATGGAGTAAGGGGAAGTTGATGTGTTGGCGCTGTATTGACAGTCAAACTCTCCCTGAGTGTCTGGGTGCTATGGACATGTTCATGTCTGGGTGCCGTGGACATGTTTGTGTCTGGATGCTCTGGACATGTTCATGGGACTTCTCTTTGCTGTTGGGTCAGCTTACACTTGGATAGAGTGTGCTTCTGCGGGCTCCAGTGAACAAGTTAAAATATATCTTTGCTGTCCAACACTCTGAGTGAACCACTTCCCCGTCACACACGAAGCTGCCCTTTCAGTCTCTGTTGCCGCTAGCATTGTAAAACACCTTTGTTTTGGGGTACGGTTAAGTAAAGCATTAGATTAGTGCAGGTAGATAGCAAACAGGCTTTCCATACTATGGTTATTTGATGACAACCTCATTTCCTCAGCTGCCAGACAGCTAGTTTCCACATTTAAACAATTTCAATTTTCATAGGCCACACATCTGTCCACATGCAATGCTTGGGCTTTCTTTTGATGTTTATTAAAATATATCTATTGCAGTTTGCCTCTCCAAGGCAAACAAAAATAAAATTGCATTCTGAAACCGCTGATCTTAGTGCCTTAGCAAACTTGGTAACTGTTAGGGAATGTGGGTAGAAGAAGCCAGCACTGTGGTGACTCCCAGGGACAACCAGTGGGCTTTGCTTTATTAAAAATGTGTGATGGGATTGGGGCTGGGAAGGTGGCTCAGTGGTAGAGCGCTTGCCTTGCATGCATGAGGCCCTGGGTTCCATTCGTCAGCACCACATAAGCAGACAAAGCCGGAAGTGGGGCTGAGGTTCAAGTGGTAGAGCACTAGCCTTCAGCTGAAGAGCTGAGGGACAGCGCCCAGGCCCAGAGTTCAGGCTCCATGACTGACAAAAAAAAATAAATTAAAATTTAAAATGTGTGATGGGAGCTGGGCTGCAAGAGGCTTATACCTGTAATCCTAGCTACTCAGGCTAAAATCTGAGAATTATGGTTTGAAGCCAGCTGTGTCTCAAGTGGTAGAGCACTGTCTTGAGGACAAAAGCTCAGGGACAGTGCCTAGGCCCTGAGTTCAAGCTCCAGGCCTGGAACACACACAAAAAACTTGTGGTGGGGCAAGTTTAAAAAGATGGACACAAAAATGAACATATTTGTCCCTTGGTGAATAGATAAAAAATGAAAAATGGGATTATTGACACCTCTCTATTTAGGATCTTCTGGGAAAGGACATTTTGGAATTCTGCCACCCTGAGGATCAGAGCCATCTGCGTGAGAGTTTCCAGCAGGTACTGACTGCTGCATGTGTGAATGGCCCGAGGGGCGTGAGTCCTAGTGTGCCAGGCCTGTGTGTGTGTGCGTGTATGTGTTTGTGCATGGCCCGAGGGGCGTGAGTCCTAGGGTGTGCCAGGCCTGTGTGTGTGCGTGTGTGTGTGTGTGTGTGCATGGCCCGAGGGGCGTGAGTCCTAGGGTGTGCCAGGCCTGTGCGTGTGTGTGCATGTGTGTACGTGCGTGTGTGTGTGCATGTGCATGCGCACATGGCCCGAGGGGCGTGAGTCCTAGGGTGTGCCAGGCCTGTGCGTGTGTGTGCACGTGCGTGTGCATGCGCACATGGCCCGAGGGGCGTGAGTCCTAGGTTGTGCCAGGCTTGTGTGTGTGTGAGTACGTGCGTGTGCATGCGCACATGGCCCAAGGGGCCTGAGTCCTAGGGTGTGCCGGGCAGGCTACAAGTTCCCACGGAAGGTCTGTCAGGGAGCCCTGGCTGCACTGCCCGGGGGTCAGGTGTGACCGGAGGCCCAGCACCAAGCAGCGAGCCGGCGCCCGCCGCCCCTGTGCCGCTGGAGACGGACAGCCTTGGAGCTTCCTCCGGGCGAGGGGTCGGGCGCAGGGGGCGCCTGCCCGGCCGCTCCGCCCGGCGCTCCCCCGCTCAGCCCCGACCTCCCAATGTCTCCCCAGGTGGTGAAGCTGAAAGGCCAAGTGCTGTCCGTCATGTACCGCTTCCGCACCAAGAACCGGGAGTGGATGCTGATCCGCACCAGCAGCTTCACCTTCCAGAACCCTTACTCGGACGAGATTGAGTACATCATCTGCACCAACACCAACGTCAAGTACGTGGGGGCTCTGTGCCTCCTCCGCCGGGCCTCCGCCGCCCCGCCCTCCGCAGGCCCCGCCCCCGCCCTCCGCAGGCCCCGCCCTCTGACAACCCCGCCCCTGCCGGCTCCGCCCTCCACCGACCCCGCCCTCCGCTGGCCCCTCCCCACTGACCTGGCCCTCCGCCGATCCCGCCCCCCGCCGGCCCCGCCCTCCACTGACCCCGCCCCTCCTGCCCCTCCCCAAGGACCCCGCCCTCCACTGACCCCACCCCCCTCCGGCCCCTCCCCACTGACCCCACCCTCCGCCGGCCCCTCCCCACTGGCCCCGCCCTCCACTGGCCCCTCCCCGCTGGCCCCGCCCCTCCGGCCCCTCCCTGCTGCCCCGCTCCCGCAGGCCCCCCGCTGGCCCCGCCCCCGCCGGCCCCGCCCCTCCTGCCCCTTCCCGCCGGCCCCGCCCTCCGCCGGCCCCGCCCCTCCTGCCCCTCCCCGCCGGCCCGGCCCTCCGCCGGCAGGCTGGTACCCTTGCTGTGTCAGAACGGGGGGGGGGGGGGGGGGGCTCTTGCTGGGGCGCTGTCCTCCCAGTGCCCACCCGCGGCCAAGAGTCGCCTGGAGCTAAGGAGCCAGAACGAGGGGAGGGGCTGCTGTGGTGAGGAGCGCCTGCCCTCCCCGCCGAGCGGAGAAAGCCCAGAGCGCGCAGCGCCCTCCGTGTGCCGGACCCGGCAGGCCCGCGCTGCCGGTTTAGGCCCGCGCTGCCGGTTTAGATCCGCGCTGCCGGTTTAGGCCCGCGCTGCCGGTTTAGGCCCGCACTGCCGGTTTAGGCCCGCGCTGCCGGTTTAGATCCGCGCTGCGGCAGGCCCGCGCTGCCGGTTTAGGCCCGCGCTGCCGGTTTAGGCCCGCGCTGCCGGTTTAGATCCGCGCTGCGGGTTTAGATCCGCGCTGCGGGTTTAGATCCGCGCTGCCGGTTTAGGCCCGCGCTGCCGGTTTAGATCCGCGCTGCGGCAGGCCCGCGCTGCCGGTTTAGATCCGCGCTGCGGCAGGCCCGCGCTGCCGGTTTAGGCCCGTGCTGCGGGTTCAGGCCCGCGCTGCCGGTTTAGGCCCGCGCTGCGGGTTTAGATCCGCGCTGCCGGTTTAGATCCGCGCTGCCGGTTTAGATCCGCGCTGCGGGTTTAGGCCCGCGCTGCCGGTTTAGGCCCGCGCTGCGGGTTTAGGTCCGCGCTGCCGGTTTAGATCCGCGCTGCCGGTTTAGGCCCGCGCTGCCGGTTTAGATCCGCGCTGCCGGTTTAGGCCCGCGCTGCGGGTTTAGGCCCGCGCTGCGGGTTTAGATCCGCGCTGCCGGTTTAGGCCCGCGCTGCCGGTTTAGGCCCGCGCTGCGGGTTTAGGCCCGCGCTGCGGGTTTAGATCCGCGCTGCCGGTTTAGGCCCGCGCTGCGGGTTTAGGCCCGCGCTGCCGGTTTAGGCCCGCGCTGCCGGTTTAGATCCGCGCTGCGGGTTTAGATCCGCGCTGCCGGTTTAGATCCGCGCTGCGGGTTTAGATCCGCGCTGCCGGTTTAGGCCCGCGCTGCGGGTTTAGATCCGCGCTGCCGGTTTAGGCCCGCGCTGCGGGTTTAGATCCGCGCTGCGGGTTTAGGTCCGCGCTGCGGGTTTAGGCCCGCGCTGCGGGTTTAGGCCCGCGCTGCCGGTTTAGGCCCGCGCTGCCGGTTTAGATCCGCGCTGCGGGTTTAGATCCGCGCTGCGGGTTTAGATCCGCGCTGCGGGTTTAGATCCGCGCTGCCGGTTTAGATCCGCGCTGCGGGTTTAGATCCGCGCTGCGGGTTTAGATCCGCGCTGCGGGTTTAGGCCCGCGCTGCCGGTTTAGATCCGCGCTGCGGGTTTAGCTCCGCGCTGCGGGTTTAGATCCGCGTTGCGGGTTTAGATCCGCGCTGCCGGTTTAGATCCGCGCTGCGGGTTTAGATCCGCGCTGCGGGTTTAGGTCCGCGCTGCGGGTTTAGATCCGCGCTGCGGGTTTAGATCCGCGCTGCCGGTTTAGGCCCGCGCTGCGGCAGGCCCGCGCTGCGGGTTTAGATCCGCGCTGCCGGTTTAGATCCGCGCTGCGGGTTTAGGCCCGCGCTGCGGGTTTAGGCCCGCGCTGCGGGTTTAGGCCCGCGCTGCCGGTTTAGGCCCGCGCTGCGGGTTTAGGCCCGCGCTGCGGGTTTAGATCCGCGCTGCCGGTTTAGATCCGCGCTGCGGGTTTAGGCCCGCGCTGCGGGTTTAGGCCCGCGCTGCCGGTTTAGGCCCGCGCTGCCGGTTTAGGCCCGCGCTGCCGGTTTAGATCCGCGCTGCGGGTTTAGATCCGCGCTGCGGGTTTAGATCCGCGCTGCCGGTTTAGGCCCGCGCTGCGGGTTTAGGCCCGCGCTGCGGGTTTAGGCCCGCGCTGCCGGTTTAGGCCCGCGCTGCCGGTTTAGGCCCGCGCTGCCGGTTTAGATCCGCGCTGCCGGTTTAGATCCGCGCTGCGGGTTTAGATCCGCGCTGCGGGTTTAGGCCCGCGCTGCGGGTTTATGCCCGTGCTGCGGGTTTAGGCCCGAGCTGCCGGTTTAGATCCGCGCTGCCGGTTTAGGCCCGTGCTGCGGGTTTAGGCCCGCGCTGCCGGTTTAGATCCGCGCTGCCGGTTTAGGCCCGTGCTGCGGGTTTAGGCCCGCGCTGCGGGTTTAGGCCGGTGCTGCGGGTTTAGATCCGCGCTGCCGGTTTAGGCCCGTGCTGCCGGTTTAGGCCCGCGCTGCGGGTTTAGATCCGCGCTGCGGGTTTAGATCCGCGCTGCGGGTTTAGATCCGCGCTGCGGGTTTAGATCCGCGCTGCCGGTTTAGATCCGCGCTGCCGGTTTAGATCCGCGCTGCCGGTTTAGATCCGCGCTGCCGGCCGGGCCTGCGCTCCCCTCAGCGCCCCTTCCCTTCGGGGCGTGACCCGGTCAGGGCCTTGCGCGACTTGAACCCAAGTCCCTGTTCTTGTGAGGACATTGTTCCAAAGTGGCCTCAGTTCACAGACAAGTGCCCGTAGTGCTGGAATGTGTGTGTGTACGTGTTTATGTGTGTGCGTGTGTGTGCATGCATGTGTGCGTGTATATGTCTGTCTTTTGTGCCAGTACTAGTTTGCGCTTGATCTAGGGTTTGGTGTTCTTGTTTTGATTTTTCACTCACGGCTGGCCTGCCAACACTTTAACCCACACTTCCTCTTGCAGCTTTTTGCACGTTAATTAGAGATGGGAGTCTCATAGACTTTTCTGCCTGGGCTGGGCTGGCTTTCAACCTCAGATCTTCCAGTCCTTAGATCTCAGCCTCCTGAGCATCTAGGATTACAGGCATGCGCTACTAACATCCGGCATGTATGTGTTTTCTTAAAGCCCAGCTATGCCCCAAGTCACATTTGAGTCTTTTCAAGCTGTTCAATCATTACCCATGCTTGGTGATAATTTATTGGTTACCTGTTAGTAGTAGGTGGAAGGCAAAGAGAAAAGAAGATTGCATTCCAGGTCCTAGCTGAGCTTAGAGGACAAACCATGCCCCACTGCTGAGGGAAGCAACACCAGAGACAAAATAGCATGTCTCCTCCCAAAACCAGTCCCTGCTGTGACTTGCTTTCTTTTTCTGAAAACTGGAGTTACGAGGGTATTACAGATGAGGGTCAGTAAGGGGCTGAGACACCACTAAGGTACAAGCCCTACACTTGGGAGTTGCTCCAGCCTCTCCTTCCCCAGCACAGAAGAACCTGGCATAAAATCAGAATGCCAGCGCCACCTCATTCACCACACAGAGAGACCACCTGGTTCAGAGCCAGAGCTGCCAGCGCCACCTCCTGGTGACACACCCCTCTGCCTCTTCTGCCCTGTCCTAATGGAGGCCTTGCTGTCACACAGCTGTCACACAGGCTCCTGAGTAGTTCCCGTCTCTCATCAGGCCTCCGTTGAGCCAGCCAAGAGACCCAGGAAGCATTTTCTCTGAAACAGCCCCAGGACCACACCATGCCTGCCCATGATCAAATCAGCCTCAGACCCCTTAGCTAAATGAAGTCACCCGAGTCCTTCACAGCAGGCAGATATGCCTGCCATGGTGTTTCTATCTGCTCTCTGGTCAGCAAGGCATCCTGAGCCCCAGACGTCTCTGGGCAGACCCAGGTTACCCCCTGGGGTACAACCATAACAGCTTCTGAATGCCCCCTAATGGCTTTTGCTGCTCACTCAGAGTGAGTAAAACCCTTTATGCAGGGGCATCAGGGTGATTGACAGCGTCTGCTTAGCACTCTGCATCTCACCGGCAGGAAGCTGAGCCAGACGCAGTGGTTCTAGTCAGAAACCACCAGCCCCCACTAATGGGGCACGGCACTCTGTTGTGGTGGGACCATGGATGCTGTCAGCTGTTTTTCTCTCCGGAATGTGCACACACACCAGGGTTTATTTTTCTACTAGTTCATGAAATGTGTGAGAATCTCTTCTCAGGGTGGGGAACCCTGGGGTCAGCCTTTCTTCCAAATTCACTCAGCTACAGAATTGGAAACCCGAAGGCTATCGGAGAGGGATGCTGACCTCCAGATTCAGAGAAACTAGGTCAAGATGCTAAGACCTATGGCCTTGGTTTCTATTTGCTTTAAGAGGCTTCTCCTAGCCTAGAAGCCCAGAGAGAAGCAGAAATGGAAGTAGCTTCCCAGCCTCATGTCAAGGCCATTATGTAGCCGTGCAAATGAGAAGCATGCCCATTTGCCCTGAAGCCCCAGGGTGTGCTGGACAAGGGGAAAGGGCTAGCCTGTGCCCCACTCATCCCAGGGCATAGGCCCACACAGTGGTCCTGTCTGTTCTCTAAGTTCTAGACTAGGGCTCGACTCTGAAAGCCTAGGAAGGAATGGTGGTTAGTTCCTGGGAAAGTTCTCTGAGAAAGGGGTACAAGAGAGCTTATGTATTCCTGCTAAGAGGGTGAGCTCACTGTTCTAATTCTACACAAGGAAAAAATCGAAGGAGCAGGTTCTTCTCCCACTGTGTGGTATAGCTCAGGATGCTGCCTGGGAAGTGGGAGGTGTTGAACAACTGAGGTTCTATAAGGACAGAAGGGAAAGCACAAGGTCTACAGACAAAAGGATTTGGAACTCAATCCTTTGTGTGACACAGCGAGCTGTGCCAGCCTGGAAACTCATTTAAACTCTTTGAGCCTCCATTTCTTCATCTGTTAGAAAAGAATATTGCAGAGATGTGAACATGCTGGCACAGTACTGGAAATCTATCTGCACTCAAACTTTAGAAGCCCTACAAATGAAATAAGATGTCACACCCAAGATATAAGCAAAAAATAAAGCAAAACAATAAATTAAGATTAAGGAATACAGAGTGATAACTCTTTTTCTCTTGATCATATGGCTTCTTATTTATGTGTTTCTTTTTTAAGTACCAATTTGTTTTATGCACCCATCCAGGGAGTTGAACTCCAGACCCAGTGCTGCCCCTGAGTTATTTTGCTCAAGGCTGGTACTCTTATCACTTGAGCTACAGTTCTACTTCCAGCAGTTTGGGTAGTTAATGGGAGAGAAGAGTGACGGCAGATGGGGCTGGGAACCACTGGTTCTCCACCAGAACCAGTGGTCAGCCTGCTGGTCTTGACAACCACCTAACTTCTTGAACTTCAAGTTCTTAACGTTACTATGTGGGTAAGTAACTACCGTGAACTTCTTGTCTGAAGTTGGAGTAGATGATGCAAACTCCTGCGGAAGCCAGCTGTATGTTCAGCATTAAACCCAACTGATTTTTTGAATTTTGGTTTTAAGGTAACTTTTTCAGTGTGATATCTTTCATCCTTCGTGAAATGAAGTCATTGCCCTCAGTGACTTTGGGGATGGGGAGGAGTTCTGACTTTGGCCTCTCTGGCCTCTTTTGTTTCTTAGACAACTTCAGCAGCAGCAGGCGGAACTGGAAGTGCACCAGAGAGATGGGTTGTCATCATACGACTTATCCCAGGTGAATTTCTGGGATGCTCTTCCCCCTTTTTGGACTCCAACTCCGAGGACCGGGACTCAGTTCAGCCCCGAGCTTGGTGGAGCCTCTCCACTCAGTGGCGCTCTCCATAGTGAGAAGAGTGCCCTGGCCCCTGGTGGCTTTTCAGCGCTCAGGTGGGGCCTGGACAGCATGCCCTGGGACGGCTGAGTACTGAGAGCAAAGGCTGACTGGAATGTGAACACTGGTAGTCGTGTGCTCACAGCCAACAAAAGTGGACTCGACCATTTTGGTAGTCTGGCTTCCCATCCATTTCTACTGCGGTTGGCCCTGCGCCCCATTCTTGTCAGATGCCCCTTCCTGCTGTGCCCTGTCTCCCCCCGTCACGCACTGTCTCTCCTTTCCTCTCATCTCCTCTGGGCTTTTATTCCCACGCACCCCCCCCCCAGTCACACTCCCTACTTCTGATGGTTGCCATACAGAGATGCCGCCACATGTCCGTGTTTGGCCTTGTTCCCAAATTAAACTTCTCTGATGCTTAGAGAAAGTTGGCCCTTTTCCATGTCTTTCCAAGAAAGCCGTCAGCTCTGGCACCCTTTTGGTGACTCCTGGTGCATAGCCCCTGTCTGAGCCGTCTTTGGCCATCATAGAAAGGAAAACTCTACCCTGTGAGCACCATCAGGCCTGAACAACCGTGATTCCAGCTGGAGGAGCCCTGCCAGAGGCACTGTGCTGGGATGATACTGTACTCACATGTGGCCTTCTGCTGTGTGTTAATTCGCCCACAGGTCCCTGTCCCTAATCTGCCTGCTGGTGTTCACGAGGCTGGGAAATCTGTGGAAAAGGCAGATACAATCTTCTCCCAGGAAAGAGACCCTCGGTTTGCTGAGATGTTTGCAGGCATCAGTGCATGTAAGTTTCTAGAGGGCAGGGGCTCTAAGATGGAGAGGTTGGTAGCTGCTTGCAGGCCATGCTGAGACAACCACTTGCAGTGAGAGAAGCTGGAAAGGTGAGTTTCTAGTAACTGCAGATCAGGCCCAGTGGCCTATGCCCATAATCCTGGCTACTTGGGAAGCAGAGCCTGGGGAATCAAGGTTCAAGGCCAGCCTAGGCGTAGAAGTTACTGAGACTCCCATGGCTGGATAGAGCGGTGGCCGGCCCTGTCGTCCTGGGTGATGTATGGAGTCTCTGTAGGAGGATGATAAGATCACAGCTCAGGCTGGTCGGGGTATAAAGTGAAGCCCTGCCTTGAAAATACAATGTTACTAAGGGCTGGAGGTGTGGCTCCAGTGGCAGAATGCCAGCCTGGCAAGTATGAGGCCCTGAGCTCAGTACAGTACTGCTGTAATAATAACTTTTTAAAAGGGGTCAGAATGGAGTACTGGCATCTCATTTTTAAAATTTAAGGGGCTAAGATAAATGAACTCAATCTGTTGTGCAGTTTAGTTTTATTAAAACAAAGACATGTTCCTTTAAGATACTGTAATCTAAAACAAATCATGCAATCAATAGATGGGTCAATAAATCAATCATGCTTTCTTAAAAGAACTACAAGTGGCCAATAAATACACAAAGAACTGCTCAACAATCTTAGCCATAAAGGAAGATTCCATCTCAGATAGTTCCCATTCACACCCCAACAGAATGGCTGTCATCAGTAAATAAAAAGCAGCTACTAGAGCCAGGCACCAGTGGCTCACGCCTGTAATCCTAGCTACTCAGGAGGCTGAGATCTGAGGATCATGGTTTGAAGCCAGCCGGGGCACAAAAGTTTGTGAGAGTCTTATCTCCAATAAACCACTCAGAAAAAGCCAGAAATGGTGTTGTGGCTCCAGTGATAGATCACTAGCCTTGAGCACAAAGAGGCTCAGGCATAGTGCCCAGATCTTGAGTTTAAGCCCAGAATCAACAACAACAAAAACAACTACTGGAAAGATGCATGGGGTCTGGCAGGGTGTGGAAGGTAGAATCCTCAAAAAACTAAAAAAAAAGAAAAAAAAGAAAGAAAGTAGAACTACTATATGATCCTGTTATACCACTCCTAGGCACAGATCTAGGAGTGTAAGTCAAAATAGTAGAGATACCTTCATACCCATATTTGTTGTCTCTCTATTCACAGTAGCCACAAAATGGATCAACCTAGGTGCCCGTCAGCTGATGAACGGATAAAGTATAGATAGATAGATAGATTGATTATTGGACAGCTATAAAGAATAGAATTATTCCATTTGTAGGAAAATGGATGGAACTGGAAGTCATCCAAATTAAAGAAAAATGTTGCATACTCTCTCATATGCAGATTCTAGACATTATAGAAGACTGGCCTGCGTGTAAAACAGGGAGTGTTCAGGATGGGAACCCGTAGGAGGGTGAAGGTAAAGAGGGTTAACATGATCAAGGCACTTATACATATGATTGAACATAGAGAATGAAAAATTGTTTAAAAATACAGGCCAAGAAAGTAATTAATTGAGGGTGAATTTGATCAAGGAACATTATATACATGTATGGAAATATCACAGTGAAACCTCTCTTTGGTTAGTGTACATTAATTTTAAAAGAAAAAAGACACTACTACTTAAGCTGTAACAAAGAACTATTATTTGAAATAGCAATATGAAATCAGAAAGAATATTTATAGTAACACATCACCCTACCACATTCATATCATTGTTTTTAACCTAAAATAAGTCCCATCTTTTTCTACCCACACCACCCAGGACTGGTCCTGGTCAGCCAGTTTGAGCTGCACTTCGATGCCTGCCAGAGGATGTGTGCCTCTGGGCCAGGCACTGAGCTGGGGTTTCGGCATACCCCAGGTCTTGCTTTGATTCCCTTTGACCTTGAACAAGCAACGTATCAGCTTCCTCCCATGGTTCCACGGATGGCAGACATGTAGATGATGTTTGAGTTAGCCCTGTCCTAGCCACTTTGCTCATATTGACACACTCAGTCCACACCACAGACCTGTGGGGACGTCTTCTTTTTGGAGCAGAGAAAACGTAAAGGCAGGCCTAAAGTAGCACTTGTGGTATGCACACCAGAGCGTGGGTCCAGGGCCGAGGGGCTGAGGGCCAGAGTGGGTCCTCTCCGTGTCGCCCTCCGCAGAGGCCTCCGTGCCCATGCACTGAGACCTGTTGCTGCCTCCCAGCAGGCTGTAAGGGTCACAGAGAACCACGTCTGAAGAAACATTTCCATTCAGTTTTCTCATCTCCCCAACTCTCAAGCGGCATGAGCCACCCTAGAGAAACAACAGCCTGTTGCAGCTTTGGGTCTCGGAGGTTCTTGGAGATGAGATGCAGGTCGAGGCCTCTGGCTTGCTGCATCCACTCTGTACTGGTTCTGGACAGCCTTCTGTGTCTGCAGGCAGAGGACTCACTGTGGCTCCCGTTTTTCCTAGCTGAGAAGAAGATGCTGAGCTCTGCCTCTGCTGCAGGCACCCAGCAGATCTACTCCCAAGGGAGCCCGTTCCCCTCCGGGCACTCGGGCAAGACCTTCAGGTATGCGTCAGGAACTGTGAGAAGACGCTCTGCCCCTGAGGGAAACGGGCATCTCAGAGTTCTGTCGGGGCCCTGCAGGCATGGCACTGGTTCCTGTTCTGTGGATCCCAGAGTCAGGGCTTGGAACTCCAGGCAGCATGCTGGTTTCCTATTCTGTATTCCTGGGCAGAGCAGAGAGTTCTGGAGGGGCTGGCATTGCTCTGAGAGTCTCTGTGGGGTGCCACAGAAGCTTGGTGTCACTTGATTTAAGACAAAAAAAAGACGGAAATCAGTATTTTCTGTAGTGATACCAGCTGAGGAGAAGGAGATACATTGGTCCCTAGCCAAGACCAAGGTACTGTAGGGCTGAGAGAAGCTGACAAAGTAGAAGGAAGCATCCTGTTCTGTGGTTCACAGAGACCATGGCCACATTTGAGAAATAAAGGAGTCCTGGCTAAAGATCAACAGAGGGTCTAGCCACTTGGCCCGGGTCACCCTGGAGATCACAGAAGGCTTTCCAATGCTATCTCTGGAGGCCAGGCCTGGTTCTCGTTTCCTCTGGGGACACAAGAACACGAACTAGGGGGAGTGGCCAGAGGAGAGCCCCACCTCTCAGGGAAAGCGTGATTTCACACCAGACACCTCAGCTCCCAGGGAGATCCCAGACTCCAGGCCAGAAGGACAGAGCCCCTCCTAACGCCCAGCCTCTGCCAAACTTGAGCAGAACCTCCAGATGCAGGGGGGACCAAGGTTAGGTAGGCAAGTGGGTTGGCCACCCAGGAAGATGGCCCTACAGAGACTGTCCGACAATAGGCTGCTGAAGATGCAGCTGTGGCCCAGGGGCCCTGGGTAGGCTGAGCTGGTCTGAGGAGATCTTCCCTCTTCTGGAGAACAAAGTCTTCTGTTGAGAGAGATGGATGTAGAGGGAGGAGAGGCCAAGCTGTGGGGGAAACGGGCTGAGGATAGAGCCTGGATGTGGCAGAACTACTGGGCAGCGCTAGAGGGCGCCGTTCTCCATTGTTTCACTGCTGGGGGGGGGGGCGGGGGTAATGGCCCTCAGGCCGCTGGGCAGCTGGCCACCAAGGCCCAGACCAGCCGTTCCCTCCGGGTAACGGCGTTTTCTTCTTTTTTAGCTCTTCAGTGGTTCACGTGCCTGGGGTGAACGATATTCAGTCCTCCTCCTCAACTGGCCAGAACATATCCCAGATCTCCCGGCAGCTGAACCAGAGCCAAGTGGCGTGGTCGGGCAGCCGCCCACCCTTTCCAGGCCAGGTACGGGTTCCCTGGGGGCAGCACACCCACCATGCATCCCTCACATCCCAGCTCTGCAGAGGGCTCAGTGCTCCCAGCTGGAGCCAGCCTCCCTCAGGAGCAGCCACACAGTTCAGGCCTTATGAGAGCAGGGACCCAGCATTTTCACTATGTCCGATTCCAGCACCCCTTTCTCCCTTCGGCCTTGCCCCAGGGAGGTAAAGGGAGGGGTCCGACCCTCAGCCACTCCAAAAGAAGGAGTCCCATGTTACCTGATTGCCAGGAGTACCTATAAAAGCCCAGCCATGTGACACACCCAGCTCCCTCCTGGCTGAAATCTCCACTGGCTGAAAGGCCCTTGGTTCATAGCACTGAGGCTGCATAACCTGAATCCAGGGGACCCAGAATTCTGTAGCCGTGGAGTAGGGAGTAGGGAGTAGCTTCACCCAGACCCACCCTGAAAATCCAGGGCAGGGATCCGGGCCTCCATATCTAGGCTGATCCCAGCCCCTGTGCAGCCAGCCAAGAGAGCCAGGGTGTGTCCCCTCAATCCAGAGCAAGCTCTTCTGTGTGCAGCACCTGCCCGAACAAGCAGCAGCGCAGCGTTGACAGTCCGGAAGTTGGTGTGGAGGTCTGATGCTAATACTTTCTTCCCTCATTTATCCCACCTGTAGCAAATCCCATCCCAGTCCAGCAAGACCCAGACATCTCCCTTTGGGATTGGAACAAGCCACGCTTACCCAGCAGACCCCTCTTCATACAGCCCTCTGTCGAGCCCTGCCACCTCCTCCCCAAGCGGGAGTGCCTACTCCAGCCTGGCCAACAGGACTCCAGGGTTCGGTAGGTGGGGAGCAAGGGAAAGAATTCTTGGGAGAGACAGAAAACAATGCTGAATGTAGGAGCTGAGCTCCCAACGTGGCTGGGCCAGGTCCGGAAGTTTCCAGGACCTTTCCTCTCTGTATCACAGGAGGAGGCCTGCGATGCTCTATGACACTGGACACTTAGAGACGTCGGCTTTGTCATCTTCAAGGCACAAGGACTGTATTTCTGTTCTCTGAATGCTATTTCAACCCCTTATGGCCTTTGGCAGGAGCTTTTAGGTACCCTAATTCTAAAACCCTGTACTCTTGTTTCCAAAAACTAGAGAATATAGGATCAACCAGTGGTGTCACTAGCCCTGGAGAGTTCTCTAACCTTTATATTTCAAGGGGACCCTATCTCTCCATTTTGTTATCAAAGCCTCAGGCCATAAAGGGTTCTGTGCAGACTCAGGAGCCCTTGCCAGCTGCTCACTCTCTGGCTTTCATGGACCCTCAGCGCCGCTCTGAGGGCCCAGCGTCCACTCCCTAGGCTGTGCTAGACACGCTACATGTTGGAGTTCTCCAAGGAGGAGTCCAGCTGCCCCAGGGCAGTGAGGCCCCAGGGCCTTTCTACTCAGAACCCACTGTGCTCAGATGGCCATGAAACGGGGCCCAAACATCCAAGCTTCCGTTTGTTGAGTTGAAAGTTTCCATTGAGTGGTTCATATGACAGCCTTATTTTAAAATACCATACAGTAGCCCTCGCCCACCGTGTGGGATTATCAGCTGCTCCCTGGCCTGCTTCTCCGCCCCTGCTGCACCGAGCAGCCCAAGGTCCTGGGCACAGCATTTCCTGACCATTTCCAAATGTGACAGCTCCTTGCAAGACAAGCCCTTGGCTAGCTGTCTTCAGTCAGCTTCCAGAGCATGTAGAGGTAGCAGAGGTAGTCCGGGCCTGGCTGGTGCAGGAGGGGTGCGGAGCCCTGCCACACAGACTTGAGGACATCCCTCGGGGGGCCAGGGCAGACATCAGGGCCAGAAAGCAAAACAGGTCACATTGCACAATGCCGCCACGGCAGCCAGACTTGTCAGGCTGGCTTTGTAGACTGAGTCCTCATGCTGAATGAGAAAAGGGCCCTCCTGGGTCTCAGTCCTGTCTGGAAGCCCTGTGCTCATTTGTTCAGGAGCTTTCAAGAGTCAATCCAAAGCATGTCTTCCATTCCTTCCCATGGAGCTCTCTTGAGCTGTACACCTGTGATCTTTATGTTTCTAGTAGTAGCTTTACTTTCATCTTGACTCAGGTCACAGCAAAACCTAATCATGTGAACTACAGTGTCCAGAGGTAGAGCAGGGAACCGTACCAGCCACCGAAGTAAGAACCAAGAGACACAAGCCTGCATTTCCCTCCAAACTCGGTGGGGAAGGTGTGTCTGCCACCAGGGCTTGCTTTCCAGACGCCAAGGGCTGCAGCAGCTGATGTGGGAACATCTCTGCACCATGCAGCTGGACCATCCAGGTGCCTGAGAATTCCACTCCAAAGGGAAGTGACATTAGCTGGGAATAGCAGTCCAAGTGTCACTGCTGCATGGCAGTAGTGAACTGGCTGGCAGGGTCAGCAGTCTGGCACCGCCGTGAGACACACAGGGCTGTGAGGCACACTATAGGAGGAGTACAACCACCAACTACCAGAACCAGGAAGAAACATACCCGCCCCTCTCCCCCCACCCCATGGCTTGCAGGCTCTCCAGTCCAGACTTGCTTGAGAGAGAATGGAAATAATTCATCCTTCCAAAGTTCCTTCAGCGAGAAATAGGATGCATAGTAAGGGAGGAACAAGGAGAATGCAATTTCAGCTATATAAAATGTTTTGATACTCTAACATGTTTCAATAATCTGAATATATATGATAATGTTTACCTCCTGAGGGGCCTGAGGGAAAATTCAGATAGCAATGTGTGTATCTGTGGTTGGCTTTAGAACCTAGATGGCAATGGGGAGAGAGGTCTACCAGGAGACCTTGTTAAATGCCCATCTCCAAGATTCAGCCCTTGTACCTGGGCTTGAACTCAGGGCCGGGTGCTGTCCTTGAGCGATTGTGCTCGAGGTTAACTCTCCCAGGTGAGCCACGACTCCACTTTCAGCTTTGTAGTGGTTAATTGGAGACAAGCGTCTCACTGACTTTCCTGCGTGGGCTGGCAATGCTCAGGCCATGTGATCCTCAGATCTCAGCCTCGTGAGGAGTGAGGGTTAGTGGTGTGATGTTCTTCCTCTCACTTGCCTCTGGTTGGTCCTGTCCACGGCCACACTCCTCCCTGCCAGTCAACAGTCCACAGCTGTGGGCACAGCTGGCCCCACCTCCCGCAGCCTTCATCCCCTCCCCTCGGCTGCTGATCTCTTTCTGTCCTCCGTCTTCTCACTCCTTACTGTACTCGCCCCGTGCTCTGCACTCCACTGAGAGCCATCAGCTGTCCTCGCCGTGAGCCCCAGTGACATAGCTTTGGACAGACTGGCCTCTGGTCTGCAGCCCCACACTTGCTCGGCTCAGGGTTTCTTCTCATCACTCAGCAGGGCCTTGGCAAAGCGCCTCCTGCTGGCCAGGACTGACACAGTCTTCATCCTGCCCCTGCTCACTCTGTGCGGGCAGCCCTCCCTGCGGGCAGCTCTCCCTGCGTGCCACCTGCGTGCCACCTGCGTGCTCCTTTCCCAAGCAAGAAGCTTGTCGAGGCAGAAGCAGTCCTGTTCCCTGCATCTGTGCAGTTTCAGGACAGAGCCTGCATCAAAGGATGAACTCAGGACATAGTTACAAAATGAGGAAGTGAATGAGTCAGTTCATGGGATCAAAAGTCATTCCTCATTCTCTGTTGATAGAAGGGAAGTCGTGTCTATATACATGTGTGTCCACACCACACTCACACACACTTTCATCATGTGTTAAGAGAGACCTCGGTAAGGATCAGAGACACCTGGTCATGTACATGAAGAAGTTGTGTCAGAGGCAGGAGCCCAAATCAAACGCAGTCCTGTAAGTCAACAAAACATCCCAAAAAGAACAGTCAAGAGTGTCGAAGACTCAGGCATGGTGAAGGAGAAATGGGTGCCTGTGAGCTTCTCTTGGCAGTTCAGACTTGGGTAGAGTGATTATTGTACAGTGCTTGGGCCTGAGGGAAAACTCAGATAGCCATGTGTGTATCTATGGTCGCCTTTAGAACCACTGGCTTTGGGGAGGAGAGGAGTGAGTCTTGATGGGCGTGCCCAGCAGGAGACCTAGTTACAGCAGCACAAGCCTGTGTGCATCACCAGCCTGGTGTGAGGATAGCCCTGAAGCCTGCCTTTGCCCATCCATCTCCCACCAAGCTACAGTGGGCTGTCTTGTGCCCCGCCCTGAGGCTCTGAAATGGGGCAGGTGCCTCCCAAATGGGACTGCCAGATCTGCCCTCTGCCCTCTGCCCTCTACCTCAGCCGCACCCTAGAGCTCCTAGCCGGGCATGACTCTGTGAGAGTTCCCCCTGGCCCTCAGGGCCTAGTGTGAGAGGCAGGAAAAGGCAATTCACGTCACCAGATAGCATTTCCACAGCAGATCCCTTCATGCTCAGTAGGCTTAAGTCCCTCTGGTGTTGAAGCTAGGAGCCTAGATTTTCTAGAACTCTGCCAATTATTCTCCTTACACTCAGTATTAAAATCACCAGTGGTGAGTTGTTACACGGAGCTTAAGTATTTCTTAAAGCCTTTTGTATCTTAGGCAGCAAATGTGGGTGTGTGAGACAGAGAGCAAGATAAGCAGAGATGATTGAGTCTTCCCCCTCCCTCCCTGGACCTCACCTCAGATTAACCTGGTGCCTAGGTAGGGTGTGGGCAGGTGAAGTCTGCTGGTGATCAGCACAACTACTGAAAAGAGTAGGTTCAGGTAAGATGGGCTCCACCCAGTTTGACTGAGAACTCATTGTGTATTTGTTGTTAATTATGTGAAACAGGAAACAGTGCATAAGGTCTTTGCTGTACCTTATCCTCTTTAAAGGATTATCCTCTTTAAAGGATTTTTTTTTCTTAAGAATTCTCTTTGAATCTTAAAAATATTTTAGACAAAATTGTGTTCATTTTTCTTAGTTTGCTTTTCCATTGGGTATTTTAGTAAACTGGATGAAAGCAAAACAGTTGTCTTTTTAAAACAAATTAGCTGCTGCCCACAGGGCCTCGTCTTCCTGTCTGAGCAGTGTCTAAATCCCTTTCCTCTCGTAACACACACTGAGAGATTCTGGGACGGGAAGGCCCTGGCCAGGCCCTGCTCCCGCCTCGGCCTCTGTGACTGGTGGCTAGGTCTCTGCACAGGCTGAGGGTAAGGTCTGGGTGCTCTTCCTCCAGGAGGGCGGGGTGAGCCTTTCCCAGCACAGGGCAGTGTCCTGTGGGGAGCAGCCTGTGCACTTGGGTTCCCTCCTCTTGTCAACACCAGGACTGCCAACACTGCTGGTCCCACTGAGACCTCCAGGAGGGCACAGAGGGGCCCAGGCTCCCAGCACAAGCCATGAGGCAGGAGCGTGCTGGGCGAGCCACCCTTCCGGCGGAGCACCTGCCTTTCTGCAGAGGGCTCCACACAGCCTCCCTACTCAGTTATCACCCGCCACCCAGAGGGAAAGGTGGCAGGTGACCTCTCACCCGCTCTGGAAGGAGCGGATGTGCCTTTCAGAAATACGGGGCCCTTCCAGCTGCAGTGGTTCTTAGGTCCCCCGGAACCACGGATGGCTTTTAAAGGAAGTGTCCTGTACGTCGGATCTTTCAGCTGAAAGTGGACAAAGTAGCGGGCAGTTCCAGGGGCGGCCCTCGGAAGTCTGGGCACAGTGGCAAAGCCAGCACCACGGCCAGCAGAGCGGTGAGCAGCACTCCCACCAGCAGCCCGGTCAGACTGAAGTGTTCCAGGTAAATCCAGTGAGCACCGCCTTGCCTGCTCGTAGGCACCGGCGCCTCCTCTCTGCCTCCGTCCCCCTCCTCCTTGCCAACTCGGTAGCTGGCCAGAGTTCCCTGCCCAGGCCAGAGGAGCCCCAGTAGTAAACCCATCCTGCCCGGCCACAGAAGCAGGTGCACTTGGGGGGCAGGGCCTGCAGCCTTTGGGCTGATGCACACAAAAGGAGCCTGCAGCTGAAACTCTCCACCCCAACTCCAGAGCTGCCCAGGGGAGCCCTGCAGAGCTGAAGGCCAAGGTCACCCTGAGGCAGGGGCTCCATGCTGGGGACACCTGCAAGGCTTGCTCTAGCAGTGCCCCTCCCTCCTTTCCAAGAGTGGCAGGTATCTTGGCCTCCATGGTCACTGGCTGCCTGGCCCAGCTCCTCGCCAGGGCCCCAGGACAGGTAAGCCCATCCCTAGCTCCCTCCCCCAGCACCAGCCTGGCCCCGGAGAGGCCCTGGTTGGGTTCCTCCTTTATGAGTCTGGGGACACCGCCCACCAGCCGAGGGTCACTGGATAGTTCACACTGCCCACAGAGCAGGGCACTGCCCCCTGAGTTCCTGGCTACATTTACAGTAGAGTCCTCTCCGCTGGACGATTGGAGCCTTGAGCCTGAGGCCCCCTTAGCACAGTGCTTGACTCTCCTACCAGGTCCTGTGACAGGAACCCAGGCCTCTGCTGTCAGGCCCAGGGCACTGCCTACCCTTCAGAGCAAGGCTGGGGCAGGAGCCACACCAGTGGGGCTGCTCAGGGTGCCTGCTGCTCTGACCCCACCCTCCTCCTGGTTCCAACACATCTTCAGACTGAGGCCTAGAGCCCAGAGATTAGTCCCTCAGGCTTCCTCACGGCCTCTCCCTCGGTGTGCCCAAGTCCCCTGCTCAGACCTCTCTCCTCCACACAGCGGCTGCCTCTCCTTCACCTTGTTTAGGCCTTAGGGCTCACCGATCGTAAGCCTCACAGAAGCTCTGTAAAGCAGAATCTCCAAATGGGACTCTTCAAAAGCTTGGTGCTAAGAATTCTTGGTCAAATAAGGTTATGAAACACTGGCTAAAACAAGTTATTCGGATTATTTCTTGCAAAGACTTATCAGACTATCATACCAATGAGGACTGTGGATTTTTAGGAGGTGGTATGCTTTGTTTCACAAATTTATTTGTCCACAGAATTCTTTCCTCACCGACTGTCATATGAGCTAGGAGTTTGAGAAAACACACAATGGGACATTATGATCAGAAGCTGAAATACTGCTGCTGCTGTCTGGATAAGTGGTCTGGACCCAGACAGCGGAGGGGCTTGTCAGTCGCAGTCTAACCGTTAGTCTGGTTGATCCTGTCCAGATGTGCACACGGGTCCCAGGCGCGTGGGCTCCTCCTGCCTGCGGTGTGGTTCAGGTCTGCTGCATTTTGATCATGTACCTCCCCTGCTGATGCCAGCTGGGCCTTTTGTCTGCCCTGTGTCCCGGCTCTGCTTCTGACCTTGCGTGCAGTTTTCAGGGCCTTGGACACGGAGGCCCGCAGAGCAGCCCTCAGCTAGGGAGCATTCCCACGCTGCCGTTAGGGAGGTGGCCACGAGGGTGAGTGGCAGGCTGGGCTCCTGGGATATGCACACAGCACAGGGCAGAAGCTGACCCCTGTGGCATTTTCTCTTCTACAGGACATGCTGCCCATGCCCGGAGATCCGACCCAGGGGACTGGCAACTATAACATCGAGGACTTTGCTGACCTTGGCATGTTTCCACCATTTTCTGAGTAGCTGTGGGCAGAGTGAGCTCCTGCCACCATTCCGTGACATCACCACCCACGTGAACAAGGTCTCCCTCACCCAGCTTGCCTAGCGCAGGACCCCCGCACCACAAGCACCTTTGCCCTCGCGACCCCCAGGCACTGCTCTCCTCAGTTCTAATGTCAGCCAAGGCTTCTTGGCCACCACCCGGGGCCCTGCTAGACACTGGAGGGTCGATTGTATTTATTGTGTTCTGCCTGGGTGTGCTCAGGAGGTGAGCCTGTTGAGTCCTGGCATTTGGTTGTGAATAATCTCTTAGCGGACCATTTACACTCCTACAAAGTTCAGTTAGGATCCAGATTGGTACGGCAGGCCTGCCTAAGACCAGAAATCAAGCTTCCTCCTGCTTCTCACGTCTGCTGGATGGTGTTCCACCAAGGCGGGAAAACCAGCAAGTGGGATACAGAGCCTGAGGCAAGGTGCACAGGACTCAGTGCCTGCCCCCGCCACCATGCCCCTGCCGGGGACCCAGCGTGCACTGGGGTCCAGGGTCCTTGTGCAGTGAGGCCTGAACTTCCATCCTCAGGGCTGTGCTGTGCTGTGTCTGTCCCGTGTGTGTGTGTGTGTGTGTGTGTGTGTGTGTGTGTGTGTGTGTGTGTGTGTACAGGAAAGCGCAGCCCTACCCTCATCCAGCAGCCCCTCAACCCACACAAACAAGGCCGGAGAGCCGGGCTGAGTTGGGGCTGGTGACCTGTCCTTTACAAGTGAGTTCATAGGCCCACGTCCCTACTAAAGATTCAGATACTCTTCTTCAAAGAGCCAGTCCTTCCTCCACCCTGAACCCCGTGGAAACACTGGGCCTATGAGCATCTGTGTCCTGATTCCATGTAGGTGACTCCCACGGTCCCTTGTCCCTTCCCAGCACACATGGAGGTCACGGTAGCTGGGGCCCTCTACAGGTTTGGATGGTGGGAGCAGCACCCTTGCACGGAGGAAGATGCTCTCAGTCGCTTTCCTTTGGGCCGCTTGTCTTCCCCTGGCTGGGCAGGGTGGCTTCTCAGAGGGTACACAGTGCAAAGGAGGGACAGACCACTCTGCTCCTGCCACACATGCTCCAAGGCCTTGGATCCCAGCTGGTCTACAGGCAGGACAGTAAGCCAGCCTTGGGCTCCCAGCCAACCCAGAGGCTTCTGCCTGGACCACCTTGAGTCCAGGATGCTTGGCTTGCTGTTCTGTCCAGATGTGAGATGAGTTTAAGGCCCACACTCCTGTTTTCATGTCTCTGGATCCCTCCCACACCCTGTACTCCAGTCAGGGCTAAGTTTCCCTCTTCTTCTTACTTACATATACCATCATCTCCAGTTCCTCAACACTACGCATTGCCACCAATGCATAGTGATGCATCTCTCCCACATGGGTGGGAGAGAAGCCACCTGGCTGCTGGAGGAGAGGAGAGCTCACCCTCTGTGAATGCCCAGGGCATTCCCACAGCCACGCAGACCTTGCATGGTGGTTGCTGTGCTCAGAGGCCTCCCTGGCCAGGCGCCTGAGAGGGTAGGGAGAGTGGGAGGGATGGGGAGACCCTGCCTTCATGTTTGGAAAGCCCTGGCTGGCATCCGGGGGCAGCCACAGGCCACGCTCCTGCAGAGCCTCACCTGTGCAAGCCCAGCATTGCTCGGTAGAAGGTCCTCGGCTGGCAGCCATCCTCACTTGGTCCCAACTCCAACACTAACAACTCTGGCTATGTAGTTTCTAGAGAGGCTTTGATGCCTATGGTAGACAGTTCTGACCCAGCGCTGAGTTTAAACCTAAGTGTGCTCACTCCAGTCTCCGATTTCCTGCTGCTACAGTGCCAAACACTGTAGGACCGAGCAGGGGCGGCCCTGGGCAGGCCTCTGCTCTGCCCCGAGTGCCACCTCTGATTCGGCAGCCTTGACCTTGCCCTCCACAGTGAGCGTAAGTGTTGCTTTTTAAAGGCACAAAAATGACTTTGGGAACAAAGATCTTTCTTAGTGAAATAAAAATAAGCTTTTGGTGGCCTTTAGCTTATGAATTTGGAGTTTGGGGTTTGCCTTCTCTGAAGAAAAATGTGTCTTTTTTGCAATGCCACTGGAGGTGAGCACCTTGGCCGTGGGGTTGCCTCATGTCTAGGCTACGCCAGGCTCTAAGGGCAGCAGAAGACACAGGACAGGGTCCTTGTTCGAAGCCAGAGGAGGAAGCTCTAGTAGTGTCTAATGACCCTTGTTTGCAAAGGAGCCTGCACTCAGGCTGCTGGTCCTGATTTTACCTAGCGAGGCGGTCTCAGCCTGGAAATGTCCTACCTGGATGGGACAGGAGAGAGGCGCTTTGCCTTTGTTTCTTCTGAGGGGTGGAACTTGCAGGCACCCTCACCCCACCATCAGATGATGTTCTTCAGAAGAGAGCCCGAGGGACGTGCAAGCCACTGGTAACAACAGCAAACCACACCGACGCTCCGCCACCACGGGCTAGGGGAGGTAACAGTAGCCAAGAATACTCTGCCTGTATATCATTCCTCCCTCGTTTTGTTTCTGTTTTGGTTTCAGGGGTTGAGAGCACCAACATCAATAACTGTATGGCTGTTCTCACTTCTGTTCAACCCTTTTATTATTTTATGAGTAGTGAGTATTACAAGCAATGAGGGCTCTGACCACTAACTTATACTGAGGAACCAAAATCTGTATCAGTAAAATGTCTGGGGTTCTGCAGGTCATCCGCAGGTATCAGTGTCCTTCATCTTCAGCCCAGAGATGAGGCAGCCTCCAAAGCAAGTACTGGTCAACTCTTCCTGAGCAGTATTTGGTCCAGTGACCTGTGCTCAAGGAGGGGGCATGCACCTGCCTGGGTCCACCTGCCCCTAACATTTAAAACCTGTCACATAAAGAACCAGGCAGGTACCTAGAAGCACTCACCAGAAGCCAGGCTCTTTGTATTGCCAGAAAGAGGTTCGATCATAGTGTGTGTGTGCTAATTTGTCAGGGGTCCTTTCTTAGTGCATCACATCCAATGCTCAAAACAGGTGTTACACATACCTGTGGCCTCAGCTACTCAGACAGCTGAGGCAGGAAAGACTGAGCTACATGGCTATCTTCCCTTTCTGCTGGGAGCAGCTCTGGCTCCTTGCACACACAGGTGTGCGTAGGGCTTGTGGAAGACCTAGGCTGGTGGTCAAGCAGCTAGCCAAAGCCTGCAGGGCTTTGACTTCAGCAAGAGGAAGTTTTGCAGGCTTCATGGAGGTGGGCAGCTGGCTTCCTTCAGCAACATGCTTGCTTCAAGGGAAAGAAGACTTCACAGGCAGACTTCAGTGAACAATAAGCACTTCATCATCGCTTTTAGCCTTTCTTCTTATGGGTGTGACCAGTGTTGTGGGTAATCATTTGTATTTCTTGAATGTTCTTTATGACTAACAGTTATTAAGTGGATCGTGTATATGTGTAACTAATGTCATTGCCTTTTAAATTTCACTACAATAAAGCTGACTTTCCTCTGAACACAAATGACCTATACCAACTCATAACAGACTTATTTGTCAAGCCTGAAGTTCGGAATCTTTCCGTTGGACTTTGTTTTCAGTTGCCCATCAGAGCCCATTAGCCAACAGGGTACACGTAAGCATGCTAAAAGACCCCCTTTGCCAGAAGTCAGCTATGTAAATAGGAACAGAACCCAATAGTTCTTGAGCTTCTGTGAAACAGAATGGACAGAGATTATCCAGATCAAACAAAAGTCAATGAGGAAACCTAAGAATTAAATGACACTATAGATAAGTTAACTTAGCAGACATCTGCAGCATAATTCACCCAGTGGTCACAGCATGCAAATTCTTCCCAGGAGCCACAGAGCCTCCTCCAAAATAGATTGTAGCATAGGACACAAAGCAATGCTTGACAAATACAAGAAAAAAGAACTTCCTATATATTATCAGTCTGCTATGGAATAAAACTTGAAATCACTAACAAGAGAAGCAACAGAAAATTATCCAAACACAGAAATTGAACAGTTCATCCTGAATGATTAGTGGGTTATTGAAGAAATACTCCAAAAATTTTCCTACAATCAAATAAAAATGAAAACAACCTATCAGAACCTTTGGAACACAACAAGCAGTGCTAAGTGTATGAGTGCTTTGTCTAAAAACTAGTGCAATTTCTTGCAGGAGGCATGGCTCAGCAGTATAACTGCATGTGAGGCCCTAGGTTCAAACCCACATCCAAACAAAATTTACAGAGATCTCAATTGAATAACCTAAGGATCTATCTCAAGCTTTAGGAAAACAAGAATAGGCCAAGCCCAAGAACAGTGTGAAAAAAAAATGACCAGATCAGAAAAAGCATACAAAGAATTGATTAAACAAAAGCTGGTCCTTAACCATGCTTCACTGAGTGATGACTAAAATCCTAGCTGCTCCCTGCAGCTACTCAGGAGACTAGAACTGGAAGACCATGGTTGAAGGCCAGCACAGGCAGAAAAGTTCATAGACTCCATCTACAAGGTAATCCGCAGAAAGCAGGGCTGGGAGCATGGCACTGCAGAGCACCAGCCTAGAACGTGAACGTCAATTTCAAACCCTAACCCTACCCTTGGAAAAGGTAAACAAGATTGACAAACCCACTAAATCTTCCAAACTAACCACAAGTAAGATGTAGAATGGCCAAATTAACAAAATTAGAGATGAAAAGGACACATCACAACAAAATGATGCTCAGAGGATCGTTAGTGTATACTTCAAACTTATTCTAATGAATTGGCTCCTCTTTCTTGCCTTTGTCTCTGGCACCTGACCCCTACTTGGTGCGAATTTACATTGCATTGCAACCATTGAGAATTCTGCACTGAAGACCCCTGGAAGGGTGGATCCACTTAATCTTTGTGTACCTGATGCTTTCCTCTCGAGATGAAGCTTCTTGTCCTAACTCATGTAGAGATAGTCTCAGTGCCCTGAATCTTGAAAGCAGCTGATAGATCTGTGCTTTATAATTCTCCCAGTAGCTGCACTGCCATCAATAGCAGAACTTCAGAAACTACCAAAAAAAGGAAAATGGGAGGGAAGCTGGTGTTCATTACTCACCATCAACACTTGTTTTTCAGTTAAATGGGTTTCTTTATTAATGGTTTTATAAAACATTAAGGGAAAACACTTTAAAAACAAGACAAATTAATGTGTTGTTCTGTGTTTTCCAAATCCTTGTCAGCTATCATCTGTAACATATTGCTGTTTTTGCTATTCTGGCATCTGGAAAATGCCTCCTCTTTGCCCAACCCTCTTGAGTTGTGAGGATAAACTCAATCAATTGCTGTGGCTGTGTGCACACCGGTGCCCCAGCCTTGAAGGCACATACACAGGGCAGTCACCATCTGCTCTGAGATTGGTGAACACTCAAAGAACAAGTCTGTTTACATTTTATTTCCACCATTTCCTGACTTCAAGTAGTTTTGAAACAGAAAGGAAAAGAAAGGGTGAGAGGTTCCTACACAATTTGGACTGCGTGCCCTTGACAACAACCAATGGTTTTTTTGGATAAATGTTCCACCACAGTAATTAGCACTTGGTAGCACTTGTAACTCCTGTATTCAATGCTTGTACCCTGCCCCTAGAGCCCTGCTCTCCTTCCTTCCCTCCTCCCTTCCTCCCTCCCTTCCTCCCTCCCTCCCTTCCTCCTTCCCTCCCTTCCTCCCTTTCTCTCTCTCTCTTGCTTCCTTTCTTTTTCTGTGATTTGAACTCAGAGCCTTGTGCTTGCTAGAGTGGCATAATACCACTGAGCTACATCTCTAACCTGGTTTTCACTAATTATTTTTAGGATAAAAATAACTGGGCCAAAGCTGCAACCCACCTGTTTTAGTCTCTTCAGCATTGCTGTGCATACAGGTGCAAGCACCACACTCAGCTTCCCTTCGGTGGAGGGAAGGCCTCCGGACCATCTGTCTGGACTAGCCTGGCATTAGCCTTGTCTTAGAATTGTACTAATCCCAGCATGCACTGGGGTGGGAGACTGTTCTGTACCATCTCCCAAGGGTCTGGAGCTGGGCTGTAAGCCTGTGAGACTTCCAACCTCGATGTTCTCCGGGAGACACCTGTACTCAGGCTCTGAGTGCTTTCATCCCCTGCAGCTCTCTCCTCTGCTCATGCCTGCCAAGCGCAGCACCGACGGCCCTTCACCTCTGTTCACCTCTTAACTTTGTGGTTCATTCCTTAGAGGCCTGGACTGCACAAGAGGAACGTTTGGCAATCACCTTGAGCTTTGACTCACTCTTGCTGGAAAACTGATTTCCTAGGGGAAGGAACTGGGAGCTTTAGGGGCAACAGCACGTTAACAGGAAATGAGGCAACTAGAAAGCTAGGGTGACGAAGGAAGAGTTGGCCGCTGATTTAAGTCAGTATTTCCCATTTTACACACATTTCTCAGATCAGTACCTTTTTCTGATGCTACGATGAGAGAAACTTGGAGAAATTTTGTTTTTTAAATAATAAAACCTAGAGCTCCTCTTAAATATTTTACATTATCTACAGCAAGCTGTTTTCTTAATCTGGGAGGAGGAATTTTGGGTTCTGATAAATATTGTTCTTTCAAAGCCTCTGTTTGTCTTAGGAAAGTCCCAGGGCTCTTGTTCCTGGCTGTATGTTGATTTATTCACCAACCTCCTCAGATGCACTCTGTTCTTCCCATTTTACATTCTGTCTGGGAAAAGGAACGCTGCATGGAAGGAAGTCATTGGTGTCGAGGGCACTGACTCTCTGGTGGCGGTTCACCTTTTTTGTCCATCTACTGATTCAAGTGCTAACTTCCTCCAGCAATGGGATCAAAACACACCCAAAACTAACTGACCGTCTGGGTATCTAGCCTGGTTTGTAGGCAGGTGTGGAAGGGTGTAGAAGGGAAAGGGCTAATTAATGCTCCAGCTTTCTGCTTTCTAAGTACCTGCCCTCTTTCTGAAACACATTCTTCTGTGAAGTGGAAATCAGAGTTTTGATCAGAGTTCACTTGATCTAAGGTGGTGCGTGAGTGTCAGGATACTCAGTCGCTGGGTTCCTGTAAGCAACTGGACCAAGCCACTCCTGCTGCCGAGGACAGACACACTTTGAGGGGCCGCAGGTTGGTAGCACCAGCCTCCATCAGCCTCCCAGAGGAGTTCAGAAATGACAGCATTTCTGTTCTGGCTCACCATGTCTCTTGTAGAAATGCCACGGATGACTTTTTGAGTGCTGACTCTCCAGAAGCACAAGTTCAGAACCATGCGTCTCAATTCTCATCTCTGGAAGGGCTCCCTCAGGAGATTTTTTTTTTAGCAAAAACAAAAACAACTCAACAGTACCTGAACCTCTAGGCTGACCAGACTCAATGGCTCCCTGGAGGCCTGCTCATTAGATTCTCTCAAAGTTCTTCATGTAAAGCTGATGGAGTCAAGGTTGAGAATCAGAGTTTTTAAAAAACAGGCAGCTTTGAGAAGAAGCCTGAAGCAACACACACACACACACACTAGCTGGGAAGAGTTGCAGAATCTGTGATGTTTATGACATGATTGAACTCATCTCTTCCCTTAGAGACCTTTGGGTAGATTGAATCATTTCCTTTGGAAGTTAAAGAAAATGCCTCAATTGTTTTTGGTCTTTGAAAATACTTTGCAAAATACTTTTTTTTCTGCTTTAGAAGCCTAAACTCCCTCTGTTTTGTCTCTATAGACCTACACAGATACCACACAATGCTGTTGGATAGCTCAAGTTAAGGAAAATCTTCACATTGCTAGTGAAGACTCTCGCCCTCCACCTTACAGCCTGGAAACTGAGATTGGGGAACTATCCGAATGTTTCATCTGGGAGCATCAGAACACCAACAGCTGGGCTGGAACAGGGTCATTCTTTGCCACCTCCTTTAGCTCTATTTTGCCGGATAACGTTTTGTGGACAGTACCTATTCCACCAGAACTTTCTCAAGTGTCACCAGATTGCAACTATATATACAGCCCTATCAAGTGTTGGCAAATTCTGGTTCAACCAGGTGTTGACTCAGAATCTTGACAAGTTACGAAAGCTTCTGGGCTTCAGTTTCTTTATCTGTAAAATGGGATTGTTTTAGGATTCATGAGGATTAAATGGCTTAATTCACAGAAGGCATTTTAAACAGCACCTGGATTTCCTGGTTAATGACAGCCATTTTTATGGCTGTGGTAGCCAAAGTAGTAGCCTGTTCCTTTGTCATGGCTTGTTTTACCTTGACCTTCCTCCTCATAGTGTTCCATTTCGCATGCTGGGTCCTAGTACTCTACACCCTGTGCCAGGGGAAACTAGACTTCAAATCTGCTCTTCAGTCTGTGGTAAAGTTGGAGACAGGCATGGAAGGTTCTCAGAAGAGAGGTTCCTGAGCTCTCTTGTCTAGAGCATTCATTATTCATTCAGCCAGTCATCAGACCTTGGCAACAAGCCACTTGGATGGGCATCTTCCTGTAGGGTAACCAGAAGCTCCTTTTCCAGTCATTGATGGACTGGTGTGCTCATCATCAGACG